TGGGAGAGGCTGAGAGGGACGGCACGGCACGGCACGGCACGGCAGTAGAGTGAGTGTGAGAGGGAGAAGGGGACGGAGAGCGAGCGGAAAGTCGAGCGGAAAACCGATGGAGAGAGGCGCTGCTGCCGCTGCCGCTGCCGAGCCGCCGGAGCGCGCGGCCGTTCGTCCGTTCCCTCAGCGAGCCCAAGGGAGGAGCCGCCGCGCGCTCCGCCCAACGAAAGAAACAAGCAGAGAAATAAAAACAAAAACTAATTCCTATTAGAGAAGTAACCAGAGGTCCTGACAGCGCCGCCCCAGCACTTTACCACCCTCAAAGTGAAGAGTTTTTTTCTGAATATCTAATTTAAGCCATTTTTTAGGCCATGTTACTGCATATGCCGGTTTTCTTTCTTCAGCTGGGGGCGAGAACGGAATGAAGGGTACATGAGCTCCCTGTACCACTGTCCTCTTACCATCCTTTATGCACAGAACAGGCAGAGAAACAAGTGGTTGTAGTGAAAAAATGTGCTTTTCCAACAGCAGTGTGAGCTGTTCCTCACGCACACGCAGAACTAAGAGCGTGCAGTGACAAGCAACTTGTAAATATCCTGCTCCACCAAGAGTCTGCAATTGGATCTGCAGCACTGGGAAAGACAAGAGATTCTGCTGTGATCCCTCTGCCTGTGACTGCAAACGGGTCGTGTCTTTCCCTATCCCGGTTCAGGTGGCAGCGGAACAAATTGCCTCAAAGTACCAAAGGAAAATTACTTGAAACATTTGGATACAGCGCTGGATGGTGTTCAGAGGGGAAAGATGGATTGTATATCGTCATAGTGAGAATATGACAACTACACACACTCCTCAAAAATGCAACTGGAGCACCAATCCAGCTTGGCAATTTCAGGTTTTTCTTCTAAATCTTTCCTCACTCCCATGATGTGGCACAAAATATTCTTTCGTGATATTCCATAACATTGTGATTGCTTACTTTTTATATACAAAAAGGTAGAACAGCTGTGGAAAAGTAAAAGTCTACTCCAGTATTGTTATTGTTATTATTATTAAAAATGTAAAAGCACTATCATAGTATTTTCTTCTAATATTGAGGATTTTCCCCAGCAGAAAACAGTTATGTACAGACAGTGCAATATGTTCTCCATCCACACACTGAGGAGGTTTTACACCCACTCCCCAAAACAGCTTTCACACCACAAGAGACAGGAACTGTGTCTCTGATAAGATTTTCTTAAGCTATGGTAAATGTAATTTAAGCAAACATTTTTATTACCTGTGGTAAGTAACTTTCTGTAAGCAAAATTATCTCTACTGTTGATTTAGTCATGTATCCTATTTTCACTAGTCTTGTTCACATTAAGTTAAATTAACACATTAATTTCCTGTGCATTATCCCATAGGCTGCATCCTGTGATGACATTAAATTGTTTTGTATTGACTTCTAATAGTAGCTTTTTTGGAAAATGCAATAGAATATAGGCAAATCTAGTGTTAATGAATGTGTTTTTACAGTTAACATTACTTTTCTTTTTGGAGCTCCAGCATAGGGGAGCAAACAGAGGTGATGCATCTGCCTTGCCCACCTTGCTGGACAGGTGAGCAAAGCAGCTGCCATGAGGCAGAGCTAATTCAAAGAACAAATGCACTCTCAGGCTGAGGGTGGTCAGAAGTGTCAACTTCTGCACAAAGACACAAAGGAAGAAATGAAGAGATCTCCTTTCCTTGAAATTCACAGGTAGGCTAAGAGAAGCACCATAAAAAGGCTTCTAGCACACAACCTACAAACACAGGTGCAAAAGGAAGTTCTGCAAGCTTGCACCTGTACTTAAGAGGATAAATCAATGTCATTTTTTATCAGACATCACCATGAATTGGAAAAAAACCTGAACTGCTATTTTATTTTAAGCAAAATCTTTATTTTAGTTTAGAGGCTTGTTTGTATCAAAAACAGTTACTTCAAAATCAAATTCACATGAAAAAACTGCATGTAAATAAACTGAAGTTGTCATTGGTTAAGATCCATTGCTGAAAGATGAGGGCTCTGAAAGACATTTTAACAGCTTTGTGGGGCAACAAATAAAACTGTGGGCTATGTGATCCCTTTCTGTGTCATAGTTCTCATGGGGTTTAATTAACCTAAGATTATCCTGAGGGTGGCTTTATGCTCATCCTAGACCATAATGGTAAACTTGTAAATATCACAAAAATGCATATAATGAGAGATTGGGTTTTTTTCTGTCTGATGGCAACACAGACAAGGCAAACCCAGATAAAATGTTGCTTGTAACTTAAATGTACTACTTGAGCTCATAAAGCTCAGTGTTGAACTGCTGATGTTTTGTAGTAGGAGTATTTAAACGAAGATGCGTTTCTCTTAAGAGGTGGAATCTGTTTTCTTTCATGATCTGGGTTGAAGGAAATAATTTTATGACCTCATTCTGGACTTCAAAGTCTGTATCTAGATGAGTCCTATATAGGAAATTCACAACAGACAAAAGCAAGGTGTTTTTTGCATGTGCATGGGTGATGAAGTATGCATATTTATTTTGTACAGGAATGAATGGTAAGAAATATTATTTCCTATTAATAACAATATATGTACCTTGATTTCTTACTTAAAAGATATGATTTGCCTTGGTGTCTAGGATAATGGAAGTTACTTTAATGTCATGCTTTTCAAATATGCATCAAATACTTGCTGTCTCTACCACTGGTCAGAAGCTGTTATTTTTGTATGTTTTGAGGAGAGCTGTAGGGTATTTGTCCTTCTGCTTGTAGTTAAAATTGTTCTGTTACAAGTGTTGATCCAAGAAGCATCTCTAGTTCTGGAAAGGCTGGCACAGAATCACAGTGGGGTTTAGGTGAGAAGGGGCTGCTGGAGTTCTTTCATCCTGTCATCTGCTGGGAGTGAGGCTAACTCCAAAGCTGTTCTAGGCTGCTCAGGGCCTTGTGCAGTCAGTTTTGAGCACCCAGAGGGATGGAGGACCCTTAATCTTGCCCTTTCACATGCTGGTTACACTCTGGCCAGCACAGCTTGGCATGTGACCAGCCTTCATCATCACAAGGGTGCAGTGCAGCACCATTGTTAAGAGAACAGTTCCCAGGATGTAACTCCAGGGAGATACACCAGAGACCCTGGCTCTGACAGATGTCGAGTGATTTGGGCTGTAACCAGATCCCTGGGAGGAGAAAAAGGGGATGAAGAATTAACATGGCATTCATATGTATCTGAACATCTGTGCTAAGTGCTCTGAAGATTGGCTCTTCTTTTGCATTTTGCTTGCAAAGATGTATTAAATGTTCAGAAGCAGCAATTAATTTCTAACTGTCCAGCCCACTGTTAGGAGAGTCGTACTCTCATAGCACTAATAACAGAAAATCTGCAAGGTAAACCACGCTTTCATGAATTTTTCACTTTCCAGTCTGCATTGGGTTGCTGGCTTTATAGTGCTGTTTGTGAGGATAAGTACAGGAGCATGAACCTGGCTGCATAACCCATGGAAGAGCTGGCAGGCAGCTTTGCAAGGTGAACAAAAGCATACCTGCTGCTCATTTTTCAGATTGTCACAGGTAAAGACGTGCCTTTATTCTGCAGCACTGCCACTGCCTTCAGAAAGCTTTGATTCTCTGACTTGGGATATTCTATTGGGAAGAAGCTGAAGATACCCAGAGACATACAGCTCCTACTGGATGTTGTCCAGGAAATGGAGAGTTAAGTGTGACCTTTCACATGCTTGGGACTTGGTGTAAATGGTTTGTGACATTCATCAGCTTCAGGTTTGCTTTATTCCAAAGATTCTCCACCTCTGTGGTCTGATCCTATGCAGGCTGGGAAAGTCTGAATCCTTTACTTGTCCTGTGGAGGTTGTTGTGGCTTGTCTTGCAAGCTGTACAAGTGGCAGTGCAAACTAACAAGGAATGACTTTGTTACATGGGCCACACTCAGAAATATCTTTACAAGGCATGGGAATAACAGAAAGGAGAGAGAGGAAAGGATGACTTAGACAAGCTTAATGCATGGCTAGGCAAATAAAGCAATAATCTTTCTTGGCTGAGGTCTACTTGTCTAAAATCATAGGCCTTCCTTGCAGATTCACTAGCAGGCTTTCACCAGCCCCCCGCTAGGTGGAAAGGATCTCAGACCAGAAATAATTTTCCTTTCTGTTACCGTATATTGGACTATCCAGCTCAACACCTTATCTGCTTTTGGGTGTTTCCTTTCAGCCCTCACTGTCATTTTGCCTCAGAGTTGAGCCAAGCTAATAATAATAGTGGTTTGCTTCAAATAGTGGCTAATAGTGGGTTGCTTCAAATGGGCATTTCAAACCTTTATTTAATTTCTTGGCTGAAAAGCCCCTTCTTTAGCACTGGTCTTCAGTAATTGTTGATCTCACTCATCCAATGCAGGAATGTGGTGGTGGTATGGTGAAGGTGAGTCAGCCCCACAGAATGGCAGGAGAATCTTTTGTCAGCTTGCACTGATCATCCTTCCCTTGGGCCATCCTTTTCTGGTCTTATTTGCTTTGTTGGTCCATCCTAAGCAAAATATTTCCTTGGGAAGCTGGAGGTGAGGAAGGGAATTCATCACCATCAGAGCATCACCAGTAAGACTCTTCAATCCACTTGCCATGAACTGAGCCAGGGTAGTCTTCTTTTCTTCTCCCTCTTTCAAAGCCAAGTGTAATCCAATACTAAGAAGAGTGGATTGAAAACAATGGTCAGTTTTCCTGTTTCCTGAGTTTGAAAGCCATTAAGGATCAGTGGAACACAGAAAGGAGATACCTTTTAAAGTTTCCAAAGGGATAAGCTAGCTTCAGAATTGCCTTTTCAACTTGAGAAGTTTTTTCTGTCCTAGGAAGTTTTTCATTTGCAAACTGGTGGGAGGCTCATGCAACCCAAAAAATGGGGTTTGAAGGTTATATTGCCTTTGATCCATGGAAGAATTCCAAGGGTGAAAAAGCTGGATCCATATTCCAAACTAATGAAGATAACTCTTCAGATTAGAAATGTTTGGGAGTTAGGTTAGGGCCCATTTAGGAAGTTACGAAGGTAGGGATTTTAAGTTCCATTTGCAGATACTGGCTAGTGAGTAGAGCCATGATGCTTGACAAGCTTAGGTCTTTTATTATTTGCTGCTGGCATCTGAAGTGCCAGTGGTGTTGAGTTCTCCACACCTAACCATCATGACATAAATCCTGATACATTTGAAAAGCAGTATGGCAGTGATCCAGTGGAACCCCACTGACTGGAACAAATCATGTGCCATTTGTTAGCTCACCTCACTTTCTTTGGGTGTCCTAAGGTACTGCTTTTCTCTCTTTCATTTTTAGGAGAGGTGGAAGATGCCTAAAAGTCTTTCAAATCTTTGTATTGTAAAATAGTGTTATGTGATAAAAGTCCCCAAATCCTTATTTAGTCAAAGCCTCTTGTTATTGAGAGGAGTTTCTTTGGTAAAGAGAGACTTCACTGAAAGGTTTGTCAAGCATTGGAGCAGGCTGCTCAGGGAAGTGATTGGGTCACCAACCCTGGGGTGTTTAAAAGATGTGTAGATGTGGCACATATGAACATGTTTTAGTAGTGGACTTGGCAGTGTTAGGTTAATGGTTGGGCTGGATCGTCTTAATGTTTTTTTCCCAACCTAAATTATTTTATCAAACTGAAAACCAAATATAGTAATATTAAATGTAAATGGATTTTCACCTTCAGCAATATTCTTAGAAGCACATCTTGCCTGAAGAAGTTCCCTGCTCTTTTTAAGAGCTGGATGTATGTTTTCCCATGTGTTTTGCAGCATTACTTTAAAGTTTACTTCTGGTGAGTCTGAGATTGTTGTTATTGAGATCTCCTGGAGTGGAAAATAAACTTTTCTGTGTTATTTCTTTGCAACACTTGCATGTGTCTACTGGGTATGCTTTAGCTTTTTCATGTGAAGAGAAGAGACTTACTTCTAGCAAAAAGAATGTTTTTCCTCACTTGGTAATGTTATTCCAAGGGCACAGTGTGGAAGACAGAAAAACTTGCCAAGTGGATGAACAACTGAGAATGATGTATACCTGCAAAGAAACACAAATTACTGCAAATTGCTTTCAGATGCTACATTGGACAAGCATTTGCAATTTGGCAAGCTGAGATGGACTCATGCATTGTGTTCCTCTGCTGTGATTAGGATGGAGATACAATTAGCAGTGTGTCTGGTGTTTGGGCTGTTTGGGGTTTTGTTGCTTTCTTTTGTTTGTTTTTTCTTCCCTCGATTCTGGCAAGGTGCTTTGGGTGGGTAAGTGAAGAGACTTTAATCTAAAGGCTAATTGTATTTCAGAAGACTAAAATTTCCTGTTCTTGAGAACTACTTCTGGACCTCCCAAGCTGCATTCTACAGTTGTGATCCCTGCTGCATTGCTTGATGCTGCAGGAATTTTGCTCTCATGTCTGTCACTGCCTTTTCAGCAGTCATAGGCTCCTGGGAATTGTCCCCTCTGCCTTCTTCTCACCAGACTACCCAAGCCCAGCCCTCTCCCCTCAGAGGCACTGTGCTCCAGGTCCCTAACCATTTTTGTAGTCTCAGCTGGCTCCTCTCCTGTTTTGCCACATCCCTTCTGAACTGGAGGAGCTAATGCTGGAGAGGCCTTGTCAGCTCTGGACAGAGTGGGTAGAAATCACTGTTCTTGCTGTGCTAGACATGTGGCTGCTAGTGCAGCCTGTGTATCTTATCTGTGATGGAAACATACTTGGGGTTAATGGTCATCCTGTTGTCTGCTGAAACCTCAAGTCCTTCTCAGAAGGGCTCTTGGGCAGATTGAATATTCCAGCCTGGCTGAATGCACGGAGTTGTGTCACTCCTTGTGCAGAGCTCTGCTGCTTTCTTCCTTGGACACCACAAGGTGCTACTTCTCAGGTTGACTGAGGTCCCTCTGGGCAGGCATTCTGCCATTTGTTAGGGTGGCTACCCTCCCAGTTTAGTGTCACCCATGGCCGTTTGTGCTTTTCACCCAAGGTAGAACCAAGATAAAACTTCATGTTGTACTGGATGTATAAAAACACCCTAGAGGGACTATTTCTGTCTTGATCTGTGTAGACAACCACATAAGCAGGTATGAGATGGCTCCAACAGGACCTACCTGTTGGCTGAAAGACCTTGCTTGCTGCTCAGTGGTAAAGCCAAGCACAGAAATCCAGGGAAGGCTGACCACAAAGCTCTGCTTAGTGCTGAAGCTGGTTTCTCCTACCATTGCTTCAAGGCATCTTGATTGTTCCCAGATCAATTAATTGATCTGTTGGGTTTAAGTCTGCTTTCTGTGGTTTCTATGGTTGTGCTTCCTTAGCCTCATTTGGCAGTGACTTTTTCTGCTGTCATCTAACTGGTGATTATTGCATTAAGGCAATACTTTAGTGTTCTACCACCCTTGCCTCTCACCTCCCCTTCTTTCTTCTCCCACCCCTTCATCTTTCCACCAACGTTTAACTCACATCTCCCTTCTTTTCCTCCCAGTCCTATGCTCACAGTGATCTGTACCTGACCCTTTCCCTCTACAATTCCCTTTTGTGTTCACCTTATACCATCCATCCTTACTGCAAAATTGACTTCTCTGTTCCATCAACAGAGCCTGCTCCATTCCTGACAGAGTTCATGCCCTTTGCAGGGCAGCCCAGGAGACCTTCCAGGGGCCTGTCCTATTCTTTCCCTGTGCCCAGAAGGTGTGAGACACTGCTCCAGCAATGAATGTGTGGACGCTGTGCATCACGGGCAATGCTGGTGTTTGTGTGATGGAGGGAGATTGTAACATTGGATGAATTCTGACAGAATCTCCTCCCCTTGTGTTCAGTGAAATGTTAGGCATTTCTCAATGAGCCAGGGCTGAGCCTCAAGGAGTGGAGGATTTTGGTCCTGTTGTCAGCATCAGTTGGTGGTTTTCAAGCTCTAAAAGACATCCTGTCCTGGGTAAAGAAAAGAGAGGTGGAGTCTCTAGCACTGTTGTCTCATTTTGACACAATTTACGGGGTGGAGACTCCAAAATAAATTACCTCCTGTCAGTTTTTAACCTCTCTCCCAACAATAAGAGATATAAATGAAAAAAATAACCATTTCCTAAAAGAAAGCAAGGCAATAACCACAAGATACAAAGGTAAATGGTTCAACCCACAAACGCAGAAAAGGTTTTTCCAGTTTGTCCCCAGATAAGAAATGACCACTGTTCCCACTCTTGGCCATATGGCAAATGAGTCTCTGTGGTTTGAAAACTCCCTCCTCCAGACAAACAAATAATAGGAAACAAGGGGGAAATAAAACCTGGAAAAACTCTTTGTCTGAAAGTGTTGTTGAGCCACACACTCCCTCAACTCCCTGCTTCTGAGGGAAGAGCCCCTGAATTTCCAGGGGCTTTATGCTGGGAACCATATCCTCCAGCTGTGATGTGGTGGTATTGAACAATTAGCACTAAAGTTCCTCCCTCCCTATTCCTTTTTTCTTCTAACTTTTTTCTTCTGACAACTGTTTGATTTCATACCACCCACAGCATGGCAGGGGCAGGGTTTTCAACTCAAAGATTCTCACTTAGGACCAATGCTTATAGGGTCACAAGGTGATTTGTTTTAGTTTGGTAAATTTCCATCCTGGCCACAATCCAGGTTGGTAATTAATGGAATTTTCTGAAGTCCATCAGCAATGGTACCACTCTACTTGGGCTACAACTCAAGTAAGTAATATCCTAAAGCTGTAAGGGGATGACTGACTATCCCCCTCTCATTCCCTACCTTGTCAGGCAACAGGGAGTTCCTAGTACAGTCAGTGCAGCTCTACCTTTGCCAGGCAAGAGCTCCTGATGTGGTCTGTGGGACACTGTCCAACTCATTACCAAAGGCCAAAGCCTGATGGGAGTTCTTGAGATCTTAGAGCGGCCTAGAAGAGCAGCAGAAGAAATACCACAGTCAGGAAGAGCAGACCTGCAACATGCTGGATGAGGATTTGCTCCCAAAAGAAGTTGATGGCTGCCAGAACACACCCACAAAGAACAACTGCAGCCATGCCCAGAAATCCAGCCATGATCCTTCTCCAGACTGTTTCTACCAAACCCAAGAAATTAAGAGTTTGGCATTGCACAGAAAAGTAGGAAGAAGTGGAGGGACATCTAGAAATAGCTACGAGGGCAGCTGGCCAGTGCCAGGCAGATCTGCAGGAGTGATCCCAGACCTATGAGTACCTGTAAGTAGAAACTGCTGCTGTAGCAGTGCTCCTACAAAACAGCAGTTTTGTAGTTGTGTTATAAACTTCCCACTATCATATGAACCATATAATCATACAGCTTCAGCCATATGACCGTCAGGATGTGGGTGCAGCATGGTGTTACGCAGTGATACACTCCTTTTTCTCTGTTTCCTTCCAGAGTTCAAATTTAAAGTAGTTTGGATGGAAAGAAATGCTGCAGTTTCTAAATTCTGTGGAGTTTCCATGCAGATAGGTCCTGCTGTAATTATTTTTAGCACGTGGCTTCTGTTGTCAGTTTCTGACATGGCTTCTGCTGGACCTTTCCCAGTGAAATCAGAATGTGGTGCTTCAAGCTGTTGTCCTGGATCCTCCAGCAGCAATGGCCAATGCACAGATGGCCAGCAGCACTCGTAAAACACTATCCATTACATGGGAGCCTGATTTCTTCCCTTCCCTTTGCCCCTTCCAAAAGGATTCTGCTTCTCTCTGAAAGACACAAATTAGTATTTCCCAGAAATGTAAAAACATGGGGAAATGCTTACTACTGGGCTTCTGAGCAAAAATGGTCAGTGTGTTTCCTCTCACATTGTATTCATGCCCCTCCTGGTAAAGAAAAACCTTTCCAGAAAAGGCTTGTGCTGCAGCAGGAGAAACAAGGCTCTGACTAATGCAAAATCATGTGCAGGAACTCTGCCTGCTGGGAACTGGCTATTGCTAACTTCCCTCCAGCAGCCCATGCTGGCCACTGGCAGTGCTGGCTGAAACATGGAACTTGCAGCAGAGAGAGGAGGAAAAGATCAGGCTGGACCTCATGCAGGCTTTGTTTTTGCAAGAGGGGAAGAGGGGAGGGGTTAAAAAAAAAGAAGGAAAAAGTGATGCAGGGGTCTGGCTGGATTCCAGCTGCCACACGCTGCACCACCAGCTGATATCCTCAAAGGGCCACCATCTGGCAAATGCCACAGAGATGTCACCTACCTCACCCCTGCAGCCATTACTGCCCTAGGGCACCATTTACCTAAAAAAAAAGCTGTTTTTGCCTTCCATGTTCTCTGCAGAACAAATGCTAACATGAGCTGTCACTGGTGGCACTTTGCTCCTTAGTGTGACACCATAGATGTGGCTTCTTTAAAAGGCTTTTAAAAGACTGTGCAGTTGCTTTACAAACAAAGCACATACTTAGTGCAAAGGGTCCCATCCTGCAGGGTGGCCCTCCTGGAACAAGGGTGCTGGGTGCTCAGGAGATGGAGCTGAGCTTGCTCAGCTGAATGGGAAGCAACCAGCAAAAAGCATCCAGAAGCAGACAGGAGTGGTCATGGAATGCTGCAAGGAAATGGTACCGATGAGATGCTGTCCGAGGTCAGGAGGGGATGGGCGTCAGACACTGCTTTGGGAACTGTTAAAATAGGAAGAGAGCATAGAAGAAACTAAGTATTCCGACTGTTGGCATAATGCTGGAAGGATTTATTGTCTTTTCTGTGAAGTACAAGTACTTCTGTGAAGTAAGTCTCATGTTTGAGGAGAGGGGAAAAGTGCCCAGGCTGCACTGTTGCTTTTTCGCAGTCTTAGAGTTTTCCCTGGAAGTGTGAGGCTTAGCTCTTTCCTCTGGATATCAGGAGTGACTGCAGCAGGGTTACATCAATAGGGGACTTGCATACATGGGCACCTCCCCTCCCCTCCCCTCCCCTCCCTCTTTGCAGCTTATGGCTTGACTATCCTGCCACAGCCATATCCAAGGAATAGGAGGAAAAAGAGAAAGCAAGAGAAGTCTTCCCAAAGCATGGGAAAGCAAATGACGCCTGATACTAATTTGATCTGACCTGTTTCTGAATGCAGTGGAGGACACACCTCTCAGCTCCATCTGTCTCTCTTACTGAAGAGAAGGGACACAGACACTCCCAGAAAAACCTGTGGGTGTTTTTACAAGAGCAGAGGAAGAACAGGCAGCTGGCATGGATAGAAAGCAAGATTTAAGAAGGAAAATAATCCTCCTTTCTTCATTCATAACCATTTCTACCAAAGCAGAACCTGGCAAGAACATAATATGGGAACAACTATAAGCCAGTTCCCCTCTAATGGGATAAAAATGAAGACTGAGAGGCAAGAGCAGAAGGGTGACAAGGTTATCAGCTTTCCTCAGCAGGATATCTGTCAGCCTTTCTGGATAGAGCTCAAATTCCTTGGCATTTCCTTCTGTAACTCGGTCAGAGCTGCTGCTACTTCTGAACTTGTCACAGAGCCCAGTCCCCTTGGACTGGCTCTCAGAGCATCTGTGGCAGCCCTGTACATCTAATCTGTGCCTGTCTTGGTGCTTCCACTGCAGAAAGCAGCGAAGTGTGCCGCAAAAACCTCAGTTACACGCCAGGAAGAATTACTGACACCTGAATCTGAATCTGGCGGGTTTGAGACCATTTTGCTTGTGAGAGCAAAGGTCATTAAAACAAAGCCAAGGACAGGAATGCAAATGGCCCAGGGTGGTTGGAAGGACAAATGCACTGACAGACAATATACAATTTCACAGGCATCACCTGCTAGAGCTGAAGCTCCTCTCCAGCTCCTCAGAGCTTCATTTCTGCTCTGATAATCACATATGGAAATGAGGCCAATCCAAGCCCCCTGTCCCAATGCACCTTTTCAGCAGAGAGGGAAGACCCCACACCAGTATCTTTGGCAAGGCAGGCAAGGGTAGCAAGCAGACGGCATATCCTGTTGTCCAGCGTTCCCCCTCATCCCTCTCTGTTCATTTCACCCATCAGTCACTGGCAGCAGAAGTGCGGTGGGAAAAGCTGTGTCTGGTTCACTGGCACAGAGCCCAAGAGGTGCCCTAGCTACCCACTCAGCACACAGCTTCAGGGGCTGCACATCTGGGGAGAAGAGTTCCCACAGCTGGTGCTTGTTCCCCACACAGAGAGGGTCGGGAGCACAGAGAGGGATGGAGGCAAGCACCCCACGTACCTCTTCTGGAAACCTGTGTGCAAGAGTGAAAATCTTACGGTGGCAGCACTAGCGTGAGAGGAGAGGAGACCCACACTTTATCCCATGGGAGCATGCACAATGCTCCAAAAAGTCACAAAATAAGGGGAAGCCGTCCCACGGACGAGAGGAAGGTGTTGCGCAGACAGACTACATGGGATGTGTGTGCAAAGATGCTGTGCCAGCAGTGCAGGGGACTGGCATGTGCATATCCGTAACGTGTGGCTCCCATGTCCGACTGGGGAAAGGTGGATACCCCACAAAAGCCAGCAAGGACCTCAGGATCTCCCGCAGGATCCAGCGCTGGAGGATGTGGGCAACTGCACAACGCTGGGATTACAGCGGTTTCCCAAATGTGTGCGCTAGGACAAGCAGCGCTGGCTTCCCACACACCCAGTTGCGGGTAAATGTCCTGCCCCAAGCTGGACAGCCAGAGATGGATCCCACGGAACAGGGAAGGCGGTCCCTGGTGCACGAGGACAGCACCGCGGTGTCCTCGGGCTCCGGTGCTGCAGCGGCCCCGGGCACGAGGGTTGGAGAATTTACGAGTCCTCAGCTGCACCCGCGGGTTCCCGAACCATGAGCCTGGCTGCGGGGGGAGCTGGCTACACGCTCCGGTGCTGCCTCAGCGAGCGGCCGCGCTGGCTTATCGGGTCGGG